TGGTGGCAAAGGAGACTGGGATCCGGGATATCTCTCTCGAGAGTGTATGGAGTGTGTATGACACACTGTTCTGTGAAGTAAGTCTGGCCATCATCTTACGCCCACTGGAATCTGGCCTTCAGGATTCACTGGATTTGGGGGAAATTATTTTACAAAATCCCATGAAACCACTTTTCACCCTACAATTAATGTTCTAATTTCAGAATAATAGTTCCTACTCACTAGAGGGATGTGCCAAGAATTACCTATTTTTGCACCCTATAACCTCCCACTCTGTAGCTCAGATATATATCGTGCCAGAGTCAGAGAAAGTCCCACCTGCATAATGTGTGTCTCTTGAAAGTCACTAGAAAATTACTGCAATCTCTGTGGACAAGCCTAAGTCCAATAGGGTAGAAATGAGATCTCTGCAAACTGAAGAAACATTACGATTTAAGTTGGGACCTTAATTAGGACTATTCCTGGTGTTACCTCTACCTCTCTGTTACTTTTAATCAATCACTTTTCTTTCTGTGCTTCTGTTAATGCCATATCTAAAAGAAAATAATGCTATCCTAAGTTAAGTGGGGTTCACTCACATCTGGTTTTGACCTATTCTAAGGTTCTTTGTCAGAGAAAGACTCTAGAGACAGATGTTACCCTTTACCACTTGGGATGGGGGCACCAAACTATATTTGATTTCTGTTGAAATCACATCTTATGAAAACTTCAGATCAGAAATTGGGTTAGCTGTGCTGTGATAACACTAAACTAAAAATCATATATCCAGGAGACTTAAAGTTGTTACACACAAGTTTCTCGGTTTATAACTGTACAGCCCAATGAAGTAAATTAAGGACATCTTTCATGTCAAACTAATGAATTATTGAATTATGGACACAGTAAACCAAAGCATTTTGACACTGGGTCACGCTAATTCTATGGATGTGCAAGACTGCTTCGCTCATTGGCAGTAGTATACAGCGGTGTGCACTATTTTGGGGGTGTAAAAGATAAATTCGCAGGGAATTACACTTTGCTAAGTAAAGTAGCAGCTTGGGTTGCTGCAAGTTGAGAATATTCCAATTCAGAGCTGCATTGTACTATGTGAATTTGCCCTTTGTATCACAAACCTGATTTCCTGTCTTGTAACAATCACAGTGAATCAACTTATATTGGTAACAAAATATCCTTTGGTCAGAGAGATCAAGGATTTCAGATCTTCTTCATTTTCAGGAGCCACTTAATGAGCTTGTAGATTGGGCCTAGAAGGCCAGCTGACAACCACTATAATCCCCAAGAACTTGGAGAACAGCCCACAGTCCCAAAGCAAAACCAGAACTTTGTTAAGGAAAGAGTATTTCTCACTCAAAACTCTACTCTCAGACTCACTGGTTTCTTCTTAGTAAGTCATGCAAAAAGTGCCCTGAAGAGGATTGTTTTTCTCACCTGAGCCAGCAGAGTCATTCTACTATCTGGATGGAGACAATAAAAAAGTCCAAGAAAGAGCTGAACTTACCAGCTATGCTCTTTGTAAATTGATGAAGAACTAACTAAATATCTAAGCTGCTGATGGAGTTTCTCTGAACCGCTTATACAGAATGGGCCCTTAAGGATATTCAGCCTCAATTTCTGGAAGTCTAATGGGATGTGGTAAAGAAAATTGTTCTCAGTAATGCTGGGAAACCACAACCTCTGTTTGTCCGTTATTATAACTAATCCTTTCATGTAATGAGTTGGCTGCAAGGCAAGTTCTTCTCTTGCTTCCCAGTTTTCAGGCTCCTGGGTTTGAATACAGGGCTTTGTCAGTGGTGCATGCCACTGTCATGTCCACAGAGCACTTGCTAACTTTGTCCAGTGTCTTTCAGTGGCCCTCAGAGCCTCCAGGGAAACAGGTGCAGGTACACCAGAAACCCTGAGTTTGTGTTCACTTACCTGTTTTTTTCTTGGACAGTATGCCATCTTGCAGGGCAGAATCAGCCACATGTAAAGTTAATGCCCTAAGATTATTGTATCAATTACAACATAACCTTGCATTCCAGCTGTGCTTTCACAGAAATGTAGCTCCTAGGTTGCGATCCTTATTCTTCTCATTACTGTTTTCTGAAACAACATCAAAACCCACATATATTCTTTGTATGCAGCGTAGCAGTGTGAGGTCAGAAGCACAAATAGGAAAAGGGCATATTGCATATTTAAAATAGCGTAGGAAAGCAGCAGCTGTACGGGCAGGTCTCCAGACACCCTCCCCTCCTCTGTTTAGTCTGCAACCTGTGCTACCTGCACATGAATATTCTGTTTCTCTCTCTAGCAAGCACACAAAATGGTTTTGCCTGGATGGGTGACTCCAGATGTCATGACTCAATTGAAGGAACTAAAAGACTTTGGTTTTGAATTTCTGTTTGGGATCCACAATCGGGTAGAAAAAGCTCGTCTGCAAGGCGGTGAGTGCACCTGGGAGGGAGCTTCGTACTGCTCTGTCTGGCTTTTGCCTCTTACCAGCTGTTCTCTTTCCCTAGGGGTCCTCCTGGATCACATAAGGAAAAATCTAACCAAAGCAGCAAATGTTTCTGCCCATCAGAACTTAAAACTACTTGCCTATTCAGCGGTAAGTTAGAACTGGGGCTGGCTTTTAGCCACCTCCTGCTTACAGGGGATTGGAGCTTGGTGATAGTTTTAACCCTTTCTAGCTTCCCTACAGCCCATGCAGTGATCAGGACATGCATCTTTGCCTCTGACTGGGTGGGAGATGCAGTATCTGACATCACTTCCCTGAGGAAAATTCCCAATGTGTCCTTGTTCCTGTTAGCTCAGGCTCATGAATGAGACTGGCAGACTTTGGGGAGCCACTGCTCTATTTATATGCTGGATGGGTTGATGCTACTCAAGTGTGATGTTTCAGAAGTGTGGATACACTTGTCTCCCCTTTCCAGCAGCCTACTGCCTGGAAAGTCAAGCATCTCTTCCAATTTGCTCTCTAGAGATTAATTCTCAAAAAACAATGCAGGATATATATGGCTCTTTCACTTCCTCTGGCACCACCACAGACCAGTGTTCTAGCAGTACAGTTCCTCTCCCATTTCCCACATGGAAGTTACAAAGGTGACATCCCCTAATCACTGCCTTCTCCATTACTGGTATGGTCTGAGCTGCCCTGCCACATCCCTAAGGGTGACTGATTTGGTTTTTTTCCCTCTTTCTCAGCATGACACCACACTTGTGGCACTGCAGATGGCTCTAGATGTCTACAACAAGATCCAAGCACCATACGCCTCATGTCATTTATTTGAACTGTACCAAGAGGATGATGGGTGAGGGCTGCAGTAAAGACATCTGCTGTGATTTCACCTCGAGGGTTAGATACCTAGGCTAGGCTCCACTCTTGGGGCATGCAATCTTGCTCCTAGTGGCAGACTCTCATGAGGAAAACTTATCACCAGAATAAGGAAAGGGTGTGCACACTGAGTTTTTGGGAAGGGATGACTTCAACTAGAGGAAAAAAAAAACATCTTGCTGTTTCGTTTTCAGTAACTTCTCCGTGGAGATGTTTTACCGGAATGAGAGTGGGAGGGAACCCTTTCCACTGACAATCCCTGGCTGTCAACAAAAGTGCCCATTGCAAAGATTCTTGGAACTCACAGAGCCTGTTGTTCCCCAGGACTGGGAGCAAGAATGCAAGGTGTCAAGCAGTATGCACGACACAGGTGAGGCCAGGCTTGACCAGAGTGTGGCAGAAGGGGAAAGTCTGGATGATACCATGCTGACCATTTATTTTCTCCCTTACAGAACTCTTTGTTGGTTTGGCTGTGTGTGGATCCATTCTCCTTCTCCTTATTATTCTCCTCTTGACTGTACTCTTTCGCATACAGTCTCAGCCCCCTGGCTACCGGCACGTTTCCAATGAAGGAGAAGAGCAGGCCTGACAGTTGCTTCAACTCCTTCCCAGGCAGTAGGAGGGAGCTGTGTTGCCCATAAGGATGACTGGGTACCTTCAGTTACTCAGCATACTTCTGTTTTGGCCTTTGCTTCCCAGAACAAAGCTGGACTTGATTTCTGGATGCTTTCTAAAGGTGACATCCTTTAGAAAAGACTGAGAAAAAGAACTGAGCTACTCTATGGAAATGACACCTTAACTTTGAAGCCAATATACTGTGTGGTGCCCCGGTCCTCATTCAACTTACCCAGTCTGGGATTCCCAACATGGTCAGTTTCAAGTTTTCCTCCTTTCAAGTAACTCTAAACGTTACCACTCACCGTGACTGTGGCAGAGAAGCTTGAGCCTCCAGCAGCTGCCACATCTGTTTGCATTTCTCTTCAGGGTCAACCCACTTTGAGTGCTTTTCCCTCACACCATAGGGCTGCTGATGGAAAGGCTGGGCTTGAGCTGAGGGTGCAGCTCACCAGCAATGCACCAAGACTCATCTACTGTCCATGCCCAGGCAACTGCTGCAGATAATGGGAGACACGTAAAGTGTTTCTTGAAGTTGCTGCCAAGTAGTTACTGCTGGCAACTGGGGTTTTTTCCGCTCTTCACATTGTGGGTCAAGAGAGGACTGTATTGAAATCAGGACAAGACTGAAAACCTAGCATTTTTAACCAATCCTAGCATTTGGCTCAGAGTAGAATCAGAGCGGAACCCAAAGAAGCTCTAAGAGCTTCATGAGAGAGCAATTCTTGTGACCGAAGCAAACCCACACTCAATTTCCTGTGCAATGTTGGCTCTAGAAAGAAAAGTCCCCCTAGATAAGAAACTTGTTTTCTGTCTAAAGATCTCAAGTTTAAATTTTACTTCCCACATCTGAACTTCAAGGACCTATTAAAGGGAGTATCCAGTACTCCAGGCAGTCCAGATTTCAGCCCAAGGAGTATGCTTTACTGGCAGAATGTTTTTGTGCTGTAATTGAGAGATGTAGCAGAGCTGTTCACCTAAGACTAGACTAAATGTCAAGTTCTATAGTTTTTCTTCCTATCTTCCCTACTGGATGGACAAAAAACAAACATTAAGGATCAGAGTTGGCAGGTGACTGTGGATCCCTTTATTTGTCACACTTGGGCATTTTGTCCGAAGTGTGATTCTGTCTCCAGCCCGGCCTCTGCGCACTGCAGCTGCCGCAGAGACCTTCACACCAAGTGCTCACCACCTGCCTTGTAGTTTTTGGCAGAAAATGAGAGACTGCAGCAGGCACCAGAAGCACAGGCTCTTCACATGGTGATACTGCACATTCACTTCCTACTTTTACTTCCCTTTCTGGTGCAGTTCCCTTCCCCTCTTGGATGCAGAAGCCAGTTCTTAGGTTACAAACATTTCCTTATGTTCCCCCTAAGGAGTACCGTGGGGACTTTTCTCCACACCGTAATCAGCATCTGCCAGCATGGGAACCCTAAATCAGCAGAAGCAGCTTGCTGTTCTCAGCATCTTCCTCACCTTTTTGTCCTCTGAAGATACAAACTAGGTCTCCTGCACAGCAAGATAGTCATTAAAAAAATGCTACTGCCTGTGAGAACAGGCACAAGAAAGAGGTAATAGAAAGTGCATTTAGGAGGACCAGACCTGTTATTTTTTTAAAAAAAATTTTTTGCACACACAGAAAAGGTTTCTATGATGATTTAGACATTTTGACTGTGAATGACTTTCTGTACTTGTTCCAATACATTTCATTATTAAAATCAATTTCGCACTGAACTCTACTCCTCTTCTTCTCTAGGAGTTCACAGGGTTAGCACCAGTGTGCTCAGTGTTGGAAAGCAGGCAGAATTTACTGCAGCATACCCCCAAAAAGGAATTCCCTGTTTCACAATCCCACAGATAGCACAGGGAGATTTGACATAAACTGGTTTTGTCTGCAGCAGCTATGTATAGATACAGCTAATGATGCATCCTGCCCAACTTGGAGGGGTCGTCTGCAGACCCAGTACTATGACTGGTACTCCTACCATGGTTGTACATCTCATAGACCTCCTGCAGAAAGGTCTCAAACTTCTCCCCTACAAAAGCAGTTCAGCAGTATCCTCAAAGCAGCCACTCTATCGAAGAATTTTAGTTTAGTACAAAATTTTATTGATATTAATACTGCAAAACTATAAACATGAATGTGGAGAATCTGCACAGGCTTGGAGCCCATCCCATCCCATCAACCTTTGGGACAGCAGCAAGGCCCCAGGCAGCCTTGTAAACAAACTAGAAAAAGCAAAACTTAACTGTTTAACAACAGTCTTGAGATTTGGCTCTGAGCAGGGGTATTTGGAAGAAATCCCTCAATTCTGCTTTATAACACTCTTACTAAACGTTCTGAAGCACATAGGCATGGGTGAAAAAAATTACCTAATCATTGGCAAGAAACAGCCTAGAACTCTGAAAATACTAACTACAGAATCAGTAGGTGCCCAGCTCCATACTGCCCCTGCAATGATAGAGACCTCTGGCATCCTGTTCTTTGTGTCCAGTTAAACAGCTGCAAGCAGAGAACAGGCTAAGCCTGATGTCTTAAAAGCACATTTTCCAAGCTCGCACGTGGGAGAGCTTGGTGTTTCCTAGGATACTCAAGCTACCCATGACTTCGCCCTTGTGAACATTCTATCTTTTCAGAATGTCAATCCTGTTAGCAAATGGTTTCTCAACTTGGTTGGACTAGAACATGCTGAGGACCCTGTCATGAGTTGCTCCACTGCAGACTATGGGAAATGGGAACCTCTGACAAGTGGTGACAAATAGGTACAGTAGGCTGAAAGCAGTAACTTCAGCAAGACCTAGGAACATCTTTGAAATTTTCCTAGTGCCTCAGAAAATGAGTAGTAACTCCACTTGGAGGAACCAAATACTGACACAACTTTCTAGAAAGGGAGGCCAATAGGACCAGGGAAGCAACATCAGATCTGGGGAGGAAGGACAAAGTCTAATTCCTTGCATGGCTTATACTGCCTATCGCCAACAACTGAGTTTGTATCCTGGGATTCAGAAAGGATCAAAATACTAAATCAGTTCTCTAGATCCGTCTCTTTTCACTTCCTTCCCTGGGGTTTAGAATCACTGCTTTTTGTTTTCATCTATTCCAGCTCCCCAGACATTAACTTAGCTTTTGAGTTTGCTTGTGCCAGGGTTTGCCTGCCTCTGCCCTCCATGTCTGGATGAACTCCAGCTTCCAATCCCCTGTTCTCTCATGGTTCCATGTCTGTGTCTGTCATGGCTTTCAAAAGATGTTCATGCTTCTTGGCTGCCATCTCCTCCTGGTTCCAGATCAGAATATTAAAGCCTGAGAAGAAAAATTAAATGCTGTATATCAGAAACTCTACATCAATCATAATACCTTAGGCTATGTCTCTTAAATGACAGAAATTCAAAGAGTTTTTCTAAGGTATTTCCAAAGTATAGAGGATGCAAAAATAGTTATTGCAGATGCTGTGTCCACATAGCCATGGAAATCTGATCTAACTAGGAAATATAAGTAATTCCTAGTCTCATCTGTCACAGGTCTAAGACCTGAATCTGTAGCCAGCTAACTTAATCCCACACAGCCTGTGAAAAACTGATTGAACTTGGTCTGCAGCCTAGGAAATGAGAAATTAAACAAAGGGAAATGGTATAGCCTAGCAGGAAAAGGCTTTCCCCGCTCCATTGTTTTCTTCTACTGCTTAATGGACGGCAGGTGGCAGTGGCTCCCTGCTGCTGGGAGGCTTCCCACTCCAGACTTTAAGTTCTCAGGAATGTTTCACAGGAGATGACTATCAAACTGCTTCCCAAGTGTAAAGGTGTAAGACTGAAAGGAAGGTCTTGATCTCTTTCACAGACGTAGGAAGTCATAAAGGGCTACTAGCAAGTGAGATTTGACAAACCTCTCACAACTTGCTTTAATTTGGACTAACAAGCCAGCCCTTTTCTGGGACTAGAACCCACACGTTTAGTACCCCAGGTTCTCTTTACTTACCCATGCCAGAAGCCAGTGTGTCTCCCATAGGGTTAAATTTATTGAGCTGAAAATGAGAACACAGAGTCTGTAAGAACATCACTGCTTATGTAACAGTCATAAGAGCACCACAGCTTATATAACAGCAACAAACCATCTGGAAAAAACAGTGTTCCCTACGAGTATCACAAAAACCCCACAACAGACCATGGACTAGCCCTGCTTGAGTCAGCAATTTTAGCTAGCAGCTGCATCCCATGACAGCATGAGTCTGTCACAAGTAAACTGGATATGGTTCTAGTCTCTAAGCCATGCCTCTTTCCCAGAGACAGAGCAGTGTCATTCACAGCCCTTTCAGCTGCAGCACTCAACTCACCGAGATGATCCCAGAAGCATTTGGATCGTAGAGCTGACAAACCATGTCACCCGTGTTTCCGTCGAACACATCCACAGTTCGCAGCTCGTTCAGTGTGTACCCAGGGAACTTGGGGTCCGGGTAGCGACCTACGACAATGAGGTCATAGCGAGGATGCCACGTTGCCTGATCAGAAAACAGAGTCATGGAGAGCTTAGAGAAAGGGACAGAGCTCAGCACTGACACAATCCAGACAACTGATACTGAGGGCAGCTCTTACTATATCCCACCCATTGCCTGAGGAACAGTGCTCCACTGGGAGTTGCAACAGTGTAAATATCCACCCGCCAGTGTAGTATCTTGACCAGAAATCAGACCATTTCTGATTTGCAGACAGCTGCTAGTACCAAGCATGATGCTCCTCTTAGACTTAACTCACCTTAATAGGTGTGAGGTGCTGAAACTGCCTATGTGGATGTGGAATTAGATGCTGTGGCTTGGTCCAGTCTGAAGATGAGTAAACTCTGATTTCATTGTGCTGATCTGTGCTCAGAAGCTTGGCACCATGTGTTGGGCTGAAGCAAGCTAGGAAAGTGGGACAATAGGCAAACTAAAGATAACAATGCTGTGACTGACAAGAAATGTGTCACATTTTGCTGACTGAAAATCCACCACTATTTCTTTAACTGGAATGTAAATATGGCTGTGTGTCCCAACAGCTAAGACTTTTTGACAAGACAGACTACGTGTCTCAAACGAACTACAAACGCTTACAAAAAGTAAGCTGAGACCTACCGTGCTGGTTGCCTAAGAAGAAATTTTTTTTCTCATTTCAGAATCATAGGAGGAAACATTGCAAAGAAAGGAACTTGCTCATTCAAATGGAAAGACAGTGGAATAATGAGATGGACACCTGCAGTTTGGACGTCCATCAACTGGTGAAGCTGCACCCAAGAAATAGGTTTGAGTTCCATTCTCTGCTCTTGTCAAAGGGACTGCCCCAATAAATTCAGTTTTCTAATCTCAACCACTGCTGCTTTCAAACTCACTGCTAAGGTACAGTGTCACAATTCGTATCACAAGTCTTAAGAAGATGCTGCAGCTGCCCTAGCCACCTCCCTGCCTCTGGCCACACATTCCCAACAGCTTCCTTGCTTTAATTATCATGCAGCTTGGAATCTGAGCAAGACCTAACACTGCCACCACAATAAAAGCTGAGCCGAGTGGACTCTGCAGACATCTATGCAATGAAATCCTTAACTCACCTGCATTGACAGGTTTCTCATGTGGAAGAAGATGAAGAAAGTTTGTTTTGTTTTTCATGTTTCTGAGGTCCCAGATTTTGACTGTCTGATCCACAGATGCTGTGGCAAACATCCACTCACACTGGGAGTTAAACTCTACATGAGTCACTTTCTTCTTGTGCAATTTCAGCTTCCAGATCTGCAGCAAACAGAAAATCATGGAGAAAAAAATAATCAAGATCTGGAGTAAAGAAATGAAATTATAATCTACTAGTGCCAAGTAAAGAGGTCTCACATTTATAGAGTAACAAAACTTCTAAAATACACCAAGAGTGTATTCACTGGAAACAAGAAAGGAAAAGAATAACCTTGGGAAATAATTATTTCATTCTAGAAAACTCTGATCTGTCAATTTATTACAGCTATGAGAAAAGAAAACACAACCCTGGGCCTTCATGGAGGGAAGTATTAGTGCCACTTTACAAAGCAAGATCAAATCTGGAAGACTTTAAGCAGTGCCAGCCTTTCACTTGCAGAAAGATTTAAACAAACTGGAACACACAGAGAAAATCTGCTGCCAAGATAACGAGAAGGACGGAACTGCTTTGTGTGGAAAACCAAAAACCCTTGCTTTAAGTAGAAAAGATGAGAGGAGATATCACTGGCTTCTAGAAATATGTGAGCAAAGAAACATGAGAGTAGGACAAATATTTCAATTAACAACAATAACAAGAAATAAACACAAAGTGTCCATGAATAAATTCCTATACAAAGCCTGAAGGTTATCTGCAATCTAAAGGCTGAAGCTGGCCCATCCTCCCTAGAATAAGGGATATCTCCCAGCTGCAGAAAAGACTGCCATATTGTTTCAGGGGAAAAAAAGTAAGTCAGCAACTAACGCTGAGTAAGGACAAGTCACTTGAAGCACTCCTGAGTCTGCACACTACTTTGCATAGATGCCTCTGGCCACAGCTCATTGGGTGGCAAACTTTGACAAATACTACCCTTACACGCAGGAGAGAGGGCAGTGCCATTGTGACACTACAGCAGGCTCTTGAAACAGGGCCCACTCCAACTATTCTCTCCTCTTTTGCTACTACTCGACTCACAGTCCGCCTCTGCCTGCCCTCTTGTGTCCAACGGCAGCAGTGCAATTTCCATCCCAGTATTACCTACATTACTGCTCCGTGCCTACCCGCAGATCCATGGAAGGGTGTACAGCAAAGCAGTACCTCCTAAATTACTCCCATCAGGACACTAAGTTTCTGGAAATGTGATGGTTGTTGGCAGAGGGTGCTCACATCTTCAGGTTACCCTATAATTACTCTGACTAGTATCAAATACTCTTAAGGAAGGGGTAGCACATAATGGGTAATAATGCCTTGTTTAGAAATTATTACCATTACACTCAATAATGTAAAATGTCTACTGAGTGGCAGAAGTGGAAGATTTCTCACCACCCAGACAATGTGAACTCATCTCCTGAGCTGCAAATCAACTTGCTCCTCTTTTCAGGGTCCCTGTAGAGTAGGAAAGCACATGAGCCATCAAGATTCCTGTAGAGGAGTTGCTGCATGGAGCCATACAAACCTCTTCACCAGAAGTGCTGAGCAGGACCACGTTGCCCACATTATCACCTGTCACCACTACACGGCAGCTTGCAGAAACGTCCACACTGCAGTACCAGCAACTAGAGGGAAATACACAAATCAGTGCTGTTGCTACAGAAAAGTGAAGGCAGTGGAATTCTGGTTCACATCTCGTCCCTGACAACGGAGACTGCAACAGATTGTAACTGCAATCTCCTGCCTGGTGGTGTGGGCCTGAGTATCAGGAAGAAGGACACCTTATCAGCAATGCTTTCTGTTGGTGACTGAATGTGAAACAACTTCAAAGTCATTTTGAAGTGCTTATTAGGTGGAGTGTAACACATTGCAACAGTGGAACATAATTGAGGCTGAAGAACCACTTGGTGCCTGCACATGAAAATACCTTGGGAAAGATCAGAATATCCTCGGGTCGATAAATGTGGAGAAACAGCTTTAAAATTACATTTTCCACAAAACACTGAAGCAGCAGTAAAGACACAAGCTTTGGACTGAAAAGTTGCACATCAAACTGTCTCAACTTCATGCTCCAGGAAACAAAACTGAATAGAAATTTATCTGATAAAGACATATGTCTTAATGCCAATTCTCCCAGGAGAAGGGCAGTGAGAATAAAGCTGGGGTCCTTTGGGAACTTGTTGCAAAAGCTTCACTTGCAAGATAAATTATTCTAATAATTCAAGGCCATAGAAATTAACATGGTGAGCCTGAAGTCCGCAAAAGGGCCACAGGGTAAACTCAATAAACTGATGCTCAGATTGTGCAGGGATATTGTGTGGCTTTCCTTATGCTACTTGAGCTGCCACTGATAAAACAGACTACTGACAACAATGAAGAGAAGGAAGTTACTCTTCCCTTCTCACCTCACACTTCTTAAAGTGGAAAAGCCGTCAATATCTGCAAGATAGGAGATGGCATCACCAGAAAGTAGCATGGGAAAATGTGGGCAGCACACTCAGCTAATGTAAAAGACTTAGTGCCCCGTGGCTGCCTAGCAAACAGGACCCTGTCTCCAAGCTTCCCCTGGGACCAATTCGTATCAAGAGTCTCCTAACACTGGCAGAGAAAGATAACACAGCAATAACCCCAAGGAACAGAGAATTAACCTTGCAGTGCCCTCTTCTCACCAAACATTATGATGCTCATGGCCACAGTCCAGGGCACGAGAGATCACCTGCACCGCTCTGCCCTCAAGATCCTGCAGACTTAAGGTGCCATCACCTGATGCCACATAAAGCTTCTCTGCCTCAAAAGGACTGAACTTCATGTCTCCGAGAAAATCTCCTGGCCCTTTCTGAAATACACGCAAAGCCAAGAGACATCAAGGTTAGAGTGAAAGTGAAAATCTTAATTCAACAGTCACCTCCAAGCACACAGAATCAGTTTCTCTAGGTACAAGCACTGCTTTCTGGCAGAGCATGTACACAAGAACTCTTTTTTTCTAACCTGTTTCAAATCTGAGCACATACATTCTGAGCCTTCAAACTTTGGGCTGCAAACCTCACTAGCAGCAAGGACTGCTGCTTCTGTTACGGAGGTAGGACTAATCTACAGTGAACCACCCGGCTCAGGCCATGCTTAGAGATCACAAGCAACACCAGCACCATTCCATGCATAAACTACATAAAATCTCATGATAGGCCAGAACCAAGCTTTTCTTACAGAGACTACACTGACTAGCTCCCTACAGGCTGCTTCCAGTGCTGTATCTGGTCTTTCTCAAGGTACCAACAAGCAGGAAAAGCCAAGTGCAAATCTTACTGCTAACCCCATGGCATAGCAATCTTATGTTCTGTGTTATGTTGTACTGTTACTGTTGTTGTTTTCCCCCAGCCTGTCTACTGAAGAAAAGTGGAAACCCTACACAAAGACAGAGAAAAAGACAGTGAGCTGGGAGTCCCCAGACTCTTTGGTACTCAAGTGCACTCCATCTGCTGCTCACAGAACAACTGCTTTGTAAAGTCTCACTGCAAATGCTAGGTTTCAAGATGCCAATGAAGATTTTAAAAAGGCCTGCCCATAGAGCCTCCCTGTCTTCACAGCAGTAGAAGGAGAATGGCATTCCCTTTCAAATCCAACCATCACTGTTGTGACAGGCATCCTACTGGGATACAAGATCCTCATGTCTCAGGACCCAGTTTATCTCTCCTTGCTCACCCCACAAGTCATCCCAGCATGACTTGGGTTCACCTTCTGCCCCATTACAAGGTTGCAGGTGAACAGGCAAATTAAAAAGTAACCATGAAAGCTGCACTCAGAATTAGGTGGGGGAAAGTAAAGTGAAAGCTAACTCAGATTCTCCCACTTACCTTCAAGCACAGAACTTAAGTAACTAACTGAAGAGCTCAGGCTTCCTCATGAGTCCACAGAAAAAAACAACAGTCTTGAGAAGAAATTCTGAGAGCTGCTTCTAGCAACTCATCTCCTCTTTTCACTCACTACTGAAGGAACCCAAACTCTTAATTTTGGTATTTTAGATAAGCACCAGAAGCTCGGTGGGATGAATTGGCATGACCCTAATGGCAGGCCTTGCTTGAAGTCAGTAGCATTTGTGGAGAAGCATGGAGAGAACTATGAATTGTCCTGTAAAAGCCATCTGACAAGCAGCAGCACTGCTAGCAGGTGTAGAGGTTAAAAGGTCCCCAGGGCACAGAGCTTTGTGATGTGTTAAGAACAGACAACTAAGGAAATCCACTGGACCCCCACTCACTCATGTACACCAGGAAGTAAGCAGCATCAAAGAGTCCCTCCCCACTAGTGAAAAGCTCTTTCCTACCCACTACCCCATTTCAAACAAAAAAAAAAAAAAAGAATGGGCCTCCCTGAAATTCAGAGGATAAAGGACATGTACATGGGGAACAGGAAGCCCAGCTCTCACATATTAGAGACAAACATATCTCTCTCTGTTTCTCTTGCTCTCTGTAGTGCTTCTGCCAGCAGGACACAGAGGCCCAAAGCATTACTGTATTCTTACTCCCAGTCCTCGGTGCTGGTGAAGACCCGGACAGTATGGCCATTAAAATCCTGCAGGGTGGTAGTGCCGGCAACTGACGCAGTGTACAGCTGACTAGGGTTAAAAGGGTTAAACTTCATTGCTGTGATGGCCCCTCCAGCTCCCATCTACAAGGAAGGGGATGAACAAAAGAAAAATCCACTGAGTGATGGGGAAGGAGAAGAGTGTGTTCTGTAAGTCTGCAGGCACTGCTATGTCTTTAACAGTAACAGTGAAACACACCACAGTCCTCTAAGCAGGAAAGACAACCATGTCTCCCACAGGACAGCTGTCTACACCAGGAGCTGCCCTCCTGGAGGACAAATCTGCAATTCTTTCAGTCCCCAGGCAAGGTACTCCCTGGCTGTCTGGCACCACACTATGTACAAAAATAGGTGACTCTGGAACTTCTGGAAGATAGACCTCTCAACATGTATCTATCTTAGATGATAAAAGTTACAAAGTCTTTGAGCCTCTGTTGGAATGGAAATGGCTGAATACAGCAATGAGGGGGTATGCCAGAGGTACAAACCATTCATTCTACCTTAGTTTCTTACTTGAGATAAAGCCCTCTTTTTTCCCCAAAGATGTTTCTTCATCTGCCACAATAAAGGTGAGCAGAGAAAGATTAAGACCTAAACCAGACAGACCCTCTCTGCCTACTTGTTTCTGGCATCCCTTGAAGGTAACTGTTTTGCCCGTTGCTATATTATTTTTCCACTGAGCACACACCAAGTGCTGCTTCATTATGAACTTAATCACCATGTCTCAGTTCTCCCCAGTGCTAGAACAGTCTGGGACTTAGGAACAGACATGCTGTTGCATCTCAGTCCTTTCCATAACTGGCTACTCTGAAACCCGAGATCTGTATGTGCTCCTCATCAAACTTCAGTTTTTATCTGCAGTATTTCGTAGTACTCCAATTTTCCCTCCCACCCATTCCTCACATACAAAGGCTTACCCCCCTTATGAAGCAGGTTTTAGCAAGTACTTCACAGTCCCAAAGGATGATGTCTCCACCTTTGGAACCGACAGCTAGCGTACTGGGGTGTGTTGGGTGCCATTCCAGACACGTCACTCTCCTGTCAAAGGGACTTGCTCTTCGAAAGAGGCAGTATGAGGAAAGAGAATGCAGAAAAGCCAGCTCCAATCTCTGTTAAAAAGGTAAAGAGAATTGTGACTTTTGCCTGAGATTCTCTGAATGAGGAATGCTAACAATTTCTAATTATCATTAATATTAGTATATTCACACAGAATTCTTAAACAACAAATCTCTCTCAGGTGCTTCCCACCTATGGATGTTACAGAATTAATTTTCAAAGGAAAGGCATTTGGCTCTGCAAAACAGTGAAACATTATGTACTTGAGGGCTATGTCTATGAAGAGAAAAAAAATCAACACTTAACCTGACAAGATTGGCAAAGTAAAGCGGATACAAGAATATTATTATGAAACAGTCGGATCAGCATGCAAAAGTATCCCCGTGCAATAACTCAACTGGGAGAGTGGGCAAGTTTAAATATGATTCAAGGAAGTACAGAATTAAGAGGATAAAAACTGGCAGAAAAGGGAAAACCATCTCAGCTCCTGCATTTTACAGGATTAAGAAACTTCAGGGTGCACCAGACTTGAAGCCACAAACTGTGTATGTGGGGAACTTTTTAGGTCCCTTAAAGTTCCTCTGCTTGTGTTGAAGCTATTTTTATGCAGGGAGCTGAGATGTCCAACAGGTCCTGAAGGAGACACTCCTCACCTGCCTGAGCTGTGCCTGAATGGAGCCTCCCAGCATTTTCTGGTAGACATAATGAACAATGCTGCATCGCTGCTCCAGCTGAGAGGAAAGAACTCTCTTGCTTCTCATCACAAATCCACCTCCACTGCAACCTGCCAATGAGAAAAGAGTAGAACTTACTGATTAGCAACACCTGTCATGCTCATTCACTAAACAATAGAGGAAGACATCTGCATTTGTTGCTACATCCATGAAAAGCTTCAACCACAAGATAAAAGCCTCTAAATAATTCTTACACGTCTAAGGTGCAGCAGTTGATGCAATTATGGAGTCCAATGCATCCCATAAGCCACCAGAGCTTTGTGTATACTTCCCCTTATTAAACCTTCATTCTCTTTCCCAAAGATTTATCAAAGACAATAGGAAGGGACTAAAGCAATGCCACAAATGGGTGGTGCATCTCTTGGACAGCACACAATTTTCATACTTAAAACACAATGCTGTTATCCAAAGCCCCAGCAACTTGGAAATATGCCATGGGATGTGGTAAGTCCCTGCATACAGCAAAACAAAAGTCACATGCGATCAGGAGGAACACCTGAAAATTTCCCAAGTATGGCAACATGAGCTCCCAGCCAGTTCCTGAAATGCCTGCTGTGAATGAGAACTTTCTGCCTGCTCACGCTGTAGCCCATACAGTCGCTTACAGCGCTGCGAGTTCTGTGTTTGATAACAGACCTGCTGACGCCTCACTGCCTGAAAACCTTTCTGTTCCGAATGATTTTTGCTGAGAGCACAGCTTGTTTCTACATTTCGTTCATGTTCCAAATTTTTGTCTTCAGGGACCTTTACGTAAAAATTAGATCTGTTCAGTCCCATGTCTGTGACCTAATCATCCCCACATCAATGGTCTGTTACGCCTCAGAGGATGTAAATGTCAAATGCATTTTTTAAGAAACACAAATACTATTTTCATTTAAGGATACTTATTTAAAAAAAACCTCAAAAACTACAGAAGACTGAAAACACATGGATCATCCTATATGATTAGAACCTAAATTAAATCTTTATTTAATGCAATGATGGAGAAAAGCACACTTCTTTGTTCACATGCCAACACAGTGAGAACACTTGTCACACCTGTTGAAATAGGTACAAAAGTATTTCTATTCTAATTCTTTTTTTTTTTCACTGAAGAATTGGTATCCACAGTTCCTTCTTCAGAGGTGACAGAAATTGAGGTATTTTTTTTCAGATTCCATTTTACAATGAAGGATAATTTATTAAGAAACAAAACTTCAGGCCTTTTTAGAATCAGCTGAAAGAAACCCTCTAAAAAGGTGATTTAGTTGTAAGAAATGGAAACTGTCCTATATGGATCAAGTAAAAAAAAATTTCCAAACACATACAAACTGGAACACAGAATAGAAAAACTCAAATACAAGGTCTTCATCTTTTTAAGAAAGGATTAAGGGAAAAATATGATAAGGATCTTATAGGAATGGCAGATGCTTACCAAATTCAAAAATCAGCTCATGAAGTTACAATAAAATCATGTAGCTACATTAACTACAGAAGATGTTTTAACTATCTACTATTATAGATAGGACTCCTTTCAAACAGAACACTTTGCCTCCACAGTCCCTGTTCACCTTGCTAACTCCTCCAAGTTTGGACTTACAGACCACACAATGGAAATGTGCAAAATCATAGAACCCCTGTATCTTTGACTTCTGAAAAACACTTCAGGAATTTCTGGATCCTTAAGCCAAAACTGTACAGAAAACACGTAGTATCTCCACACAAGGCAGTAACCCTAGTGATCTCCTAAACTGCTGATGGAATTAAAGGTTTTATCTGAGAAAAGGAGACTGAGAAGAGACCATATTGCTCTCCACAACCACCTGAAAGGGGGGTGTAGGGAGAGGGCAGTTGGTCTTTTCTCCCAAATAACAAGTGATAAGAAGGAGGAAAGGGTCTCTAGTTGCACCAGAAAAAGTTTTGAAAATTTGAAATGAATGAAAAATTTCTTCACTGAAAGAGTTGTCAATCATTGTAACAGGCTGTTCAGGGAAGTGGATGAGTCCCCATTCCTAAAGATATTTAAGAGCTATGTAGACATGGCACTGAGACATGGTTTAGTAGTGGATTTGGCAGTGCTGGGTTAACAGTTGGACTCTACGATCCTAAAGGTCTTTTTGAACCTAAATGATTCTATGAAGTTGCTGTAGGTAAAGTCTAGACAACTCCCTTGATAATACAAAGCACTAAACTTTCCAGATTATTAGAAATTAATTACAACTCCAAATTACATCAAAAGTCTTTAAGATTTTTTTTAACATAAGTTAGACACTACAGGAAAAAAATGCCCATGAGGAAAAGTAATTAGAGGAAATTCTGTCCATTCTAATCTGAACAGAGGTAGAAAGTATTCCTACTTACTGTAGCAAAAGTTAGAACAGGGAAAAAATGGAGTGCAAATACCAGTTCAGACTGGATACTCTAGGACACCAACCTTAAAATTAAAAACTGCATTCAGAACTGCATTGATAGTAAGAATGTATTACCAAGATTGGTCTGTCCTACACTAAAGCAGAGATCTGGTAATACAGGAATTCCACAAAACTTAGTCACTCTCAAATAAGCTGTAACAGCATCTTCAGTGCTTCAGGTTTTTACCAAGGGGTATGGAGTCTCAAAATTTAAACATTCATGCATGCACGCACACTCACTAGACAAAAACTTAAGAGGATGTACTCTCCCAACACAAGTCTGCCTATTACTTCAACCTCTAATCCCATCTGAACATTCATGTCTGAACATGCTTTTTGGCATTCTCCTCTTCAACTAGTCAATGCCTGTCATTTGCAGTAAATCTGGTAGGGAGAAAGAGTAAGAATCTGAGGAAATGTTACCTATTTTCCCTGAGGGTTTAGATGTTTTTCTCACAAACAACTTCTTTTCTTGTTTCTCATTCCCTCTTTCTCCATAGTCCCGTTTCCTCTTCCCAGCTGATTTTGCCTCTTCTGGCCGCTGCTGACATGCCCTCTCACGCTTCTTATCCTTTGGCTGGTTCACTGGAGCCATTCCGTCTGACCATTGAAAGCAAACAAAACATGGAAGGTAAGACTGTCATACACTTCTAACCAGAGGCCAGAGAGAAAAACTGGAATGGAATGTATCTCAGTTAGTCTGAAGGTAGTGATTAGACTTCTATCCTCTTTCATTGGGATGACACTAGCTTTTTGTTTTCTCTACTGAAGAGAGGAACAAGTTCTATAAAATCTTCTTTGTTCACATATTAAAATTAACATATCCTAAAGCACCAGAATATGTTTTGACAGATGTGCCTCTACCAGACTTTTAAGCCTGAAACCCGAAGATCTCCATAAAGTACATCTGTGAAACCACATAATACCCAACTGTTTCTGTAGTAGCTCACACTGAGCTCTTCAGATTCAGCTAAGTGAAAGGTCAGAGTTCTTATGACGATGGCCAGGGCTGACTGGCCTTGCAACAAATGGGCTCAGAAGGTACTACCTGCATAATGGCCACTTTTCCTCACAGCCACCACCTGTTATTTGGATTGGGCTCCTGCACCGCCTGCAAACCACACCGGAACTGCTCTTGTGACGGCGGTGGATTTAGCCACTCGTGTCCCGTGTTATGCCGGCCACAACGCCACCAGGCCCCTGAGGACACGCATGGGCCTCCCACGGCGCTCTCTGTAGCCGTGGGCCGTGCGCCAAACGCCGCCCGCAGCCGCAGTTCCTTCCCGCAGAGCATCTCTAGTCTGAGCCTGTGCTCGCGTCGAGCTCATTTAGAATTCTGAATGGCCGTTACGGATATGTGCCCGTGTTAAATATAGCTCGGCGGGCACGGCGCAGGCTCTTGCCCAGGCAGCGCCCCCGTTCCGGCGCCTCCGGGCCTGGAGCCGCCCCGCAGTCCCTGGAGCGGCCCGGCGCCCCCGCGGCCCGGGCGGAAAGACCACCCCGCTCTCACCTGCGCTCCCCCGGCCTCGGCTCTCCGGGTGCCGCCGCGGCCGGCGGCGGGCACTGGCCCCTCCCCCGCGGTTTCATAACCGGGGCGGGAACGGGAGCAGCGGCTTCGGCCCGGCCCTCCAGAGCGGCATCGAGTTCGCCGGCCGTGGCGGCCCTCGCCACCCTTCGCCGCAGAGAGGCAGCGGCATCGACGGGGGAAGGCTGGGGAGGGCTCCGAGTGCTTGTCTAGCCCCTGGCTGCCTCCACCGCCCTTGCCCCTGCCGGCCTCCCCGGCCATCAGCATGAGCAGCACCTACAGCCCCCCCGGGAGCGGGAGGAGGCTGCGAGGGCAACGCTGGCCTGAAACACCCCATCCGTCTTTGTCTGCCTGTCGTTTATTTGGTGCAGCACGTAACATCATACGGCCCTCATTAGTTTCTAGAGCACCAAATTGTCCTATTAAAGCTGTTTGGTAAGGGCCCCAAACACGGCAATAAAAACAAAACAAAACACCATTTCCACAAGAAACCGCACCTGATGTTTGAAAACAACATCAACACCATCAACAACAAAAGGCTGATAAAGTCACATCGAGAGCAGCTCAGAGAATACCAGATGCTGCATGACACAGATGACAAGAATGGGGAAGGAAGAGCTCTACCAACACAGAGGGAGGTACCAGCACTTCCCCTCGCACCTGCAAAGGAGGCTGCTGTCTGCAGCCGTGTGGCGTGGGGAACCTTACCCCTCATCTCTGCAGCAATAAGGTCTCTGATTCAGGCCTACCAGTAACTATGCTGAGTAATTAAGGTCCAGTCATCCACACATGCGGCTGTGGACACAGGTTCTAAAATAGCTGTACATAGCCATGCCTTCTGTAGGGTTTGGCTTTGGGTGCTACTAATTTTTGTGCTATAACTATAGTTACCTGTGGATTTTCTCCCATACTAGAAAAAGCACAGAAAAACAACAAATACTCAGTGTCTATGCTTTTTATCTGAAGAGTAACAAAGTTGTATTAGTTGCCGTATCAGAATGCCATACACAAAAATGATAATCACTAACATAATGGGGTTTTGGACAAACACATCAACCCAATTAGCAAGTCCTAAAGTCTCATCAGGCACTTTTGTAATGCACAACATTTGTCTAGAACTCTAGAAGCTCTGCCTCAGTTATGGGACATGGTTCACTCCCATACAATCAAGTTGTCTTGTCACCAAGTACAGTAAAGCTATATTGTAACTAAGATCAGCTTCGTGGTACTAGTAATATCATTAGGTGTTCTGCCTCCTTGTTGCCAAGATTTTTGTCCAAAGCGTGAATATTTTTGGCTGCTTTAGTCTCACTACTGATGTATATATTGTTAGAACAACTAGAGTTTGCCATGCACATGAAAACAAGCCTATATTCCATGAAAAAGTAAAACAAAATATAAAACCTTAGAGACGAAGGAGTAAATATAATGCTATCTGACCTCCTTCTGTCCCATGACCATTACTAAGTTGCCCATTTCATTTGTTCATTTGCCCAGGAAAATGAACAAAAAGATCACTATCATTATGACCTCATTTACCGAGCACCCTGTCTTCCCCAAGCCATTCCAGCCTTGGAGGACAGGATTGCAAGAGCCATGCTATTTAGTACTCTCACCTTGCAGTCAGTATTGGCGGTGGCCAGGACCCACATGGACAGCATCTGTCCTAGACACTCTATCTTAGATGCACATGGGATATCAATACAGAAATCGGCATGAAAACATGACACAGGGCAAACACTGGATATAGACTATCAATGGATGACAGGTGTTTGCCTTTTCTGACCTTCAATAATATACATTAATTTGATAATGGAAATAAAAAACTCAGAATTTAATTGAATTAGAGAGTATCTATACCAAAGAGTTCGGTTCCATTTTGTTTTAGTAAAAGACAAAGCTGTTGCTTATGCTCTCAACTGTGATTAACTTAAAGGACAAGATAAGCGTCTTTCTTCACTTTTTTAAAGGATACTCATGGTGACACCACAGGCAATGACCTGTCAGGGGTGTCCACCTTCCAGGGACCCTGTGCTGGTAAAAGTGAACAGAGGATTGGTCTTAGAAGAAATTAAGTGGAATGGTTTCTAATCTCCACTTTCTAACACAGCATTTGACTGTATATGAAGGTCATCAGCACAGTTATTTTTCTGGTTCTTATGAAATCTAGGACACTTGTAAAGGCAAAAACCCAAGTACTGCTCCAGAGAAGTAGATTTATGGCATGCTCTTTCCTCTCTTCCTTCTGCAAGGCTCTCAGTCTTTCCTTTTTCCACCAATTGAATAAACATAACTGCAAACCCACAGCTGGTACTTGGAATTGTGTCCCAAGTCACTTGGAAGCAGTCAAGAAGAGGCAAGCCAGCAACGTCTCCTAGTAAAAGCCTTGCCCCAAGGGAAATTGTACTGGAGGGGCCTGGGATTACAAAAGCAAAGGCTGGCAGGCAAACCCTTTGGCATTTAGAAAACAGCTGGTGTCGTCTGAAAGGTTCCGAGGACTTAAAGATGAGGTCCGAATTATTCAGATAGAGGTTTTCGGAGGAATGGAAGAGTGACTGAAAACAGCTATCAGGATCGGGTGAAAGAGAAAGACGGATGCTAAGGTGAACTGAGGTGATGTCACTCTCTAAGGGAAAGTGACCCATGCCACTCTCACAAGCGAGTCCACAGCACTTCAGTTGGGTAGGAGCCGGCCCTGGGGAGCCTCCTGCTCCAACACACCAGGGCGGCTCCGGGCCCTGCAGGTCAGCTGGCCGGTACACACACAGATGAACGAACTCACGGACAGGAGCCGAACTCAGGGCTGGGCCGAGCGGGCAGCTCCTCCTAGAGCTGCGTCCCTCCCGCCCCGCCACGAGGGGGATCCCGGCCAGACAGACTTCCCTCAATCCCCTCCTCACCCCACGGTTCCAGGCCCTCCTCAGTGTGGAGGGGAACAACGACGACGGAAGACAGCGCTGCCCTCCCAGTACCCTCTCCCGACCCCACCTGCCAGAGCAGAGCCCGCTCCCGTTAATTGGATCAAGGGCCGGGGGCGGGGAGGCGGGAGCCGCGCCGAAGCTGCCCCGCCACTGCCATCGGAGCAGCCCGAGCCCGGGCCCGCCCCGCGGGCGCTGCTGAAGGCGGGGCGGGACCCCCGAGTCCCGCGGCTGAAATAGGGGGAGGGCTCAAGCCGCGCCTCCCCCAGGTGGCCGCTGTCCGCCGAGCGTCCCGCTGTGCCGCGCCGCCTGCGAGGTAAGCGGCGGGGTCACCGCTGCGGGCTCCGCTCCTCCGGGCCCGGCGCCTGTCGGACTTGTGCCCCGTGAGTTGCCGAGGGTCCTGGTTGCAGAGCCCGTCCTGGTCCCGGCGCCGCCTTCCCGTGGCGGGCAGCGTGTCTCGGGACGTGCTGGCAACTATGAGGGAAAAGTTTCCTCATGGAAAGGGGGCGGGCGGGGGAGGCGGTACCTGGCTGGGTGCTGGCTGTGGGCAGGAGGGGACTGGGAGGCGGCTCGGCGCGGTTCGTCTGGAGGCGCGGCGGAGACCCCCGGTAGGTGCGGGAGCGCCGGCGCGCGGGGCAGGGAAGGGCGGTGGGGCTGCGGTCCCGCTGGGTTGTTTGCGAGAGGCTGGAGAAGCTCTCGCCAGAGCTTCGCTCCCTTTGCTTCTCTAAGCTTCGCCGGCTGCCCCGCCGCCGGCCTCCCGGGGCCGGCCCGCTGCCGCCGCCCCGTCACTGGGGGCTGCCGAGGCTCCCCCTCCCTCCCTCCGGAGCCCGCGCCTCCGCTGTGCCTCGGGGACAGGGGCCTCTTTGTGCCGGATCCGAACAGAGCCGCTTCCCACTCTGAAACCGGAGCTGCGAGCGCTGGCAGCGCTGTGCAGAGTGGGGATAAAGCGACTTCCCAGGACCCCCTGGGGAAAGGGGCCCGTGCTCGCGGGGCTGCAGTCCCTTGTCTCGGGCGTCCGTGTTGCCGCTCTGTGAGCCGGCCTCCGGGCAGCTGGATGGAGAATTTCGGCAGAGGGGACAGTTCTGTCCTTGTTCGTCCTCTTCCACTCTTCTGGCTGCCGACAGCAGGGAAGGGAGGGCGAGGGGCAGGCTCTAGGG